TAAGTATCACGTATTATGATTCATGTGTTCCATCCACAAGAACCGTCCCTGTCCCTGTAGAACCTCTTTCTGGGATGTTTTCAATGAAGAAAAGTCATAAATCACGACTTTAACTAATCTAACAAACCTCCGTTGTTCCATTGCCAATACGCTCCACCACTATTCGTTACTCAGAGTTAAGTCGAGCTCCTGAAAGCCGCCCCTCCAGGTGAAAGTCAGTAGGAAAGAATAAAAAAAGAAAAACCAACCAGAGTAGCGTTCCAAATCCCAGTTTTATTGGTCGTTGGATTTCGGTGAACCAATGGCACAAGAGAGATTAATCCACAATATCAAAAATTATACAAAATAATAATACAAAAGGAAGTTCCAGTAATACAAAGCAATGATGTGGACCTTAATTCTTTTTTTCTTTTCTTTTTTTTTTTTTTTTTAATTTTCTTACTGCCCAAAAAAATCCAGAGTAAGGCACAGTCATTACCACATGTTTCACTTCCACGTCTGTTCGTCTACGCCTGCCGTGGTCGCCGTGGGCTTTCCACAGAGGATCACCGCCCCTTCACACTTCTCAACAATCATGCAAACAATTCCCAAAACAGTTGGACAGTTGGCGAGGAGGAGCCGGGTACAATCGTATGGAGCGACAGTGATCGGAGGAATGATGGGTGACGGGTGGAGGAGCCCAGTGACCTGTAATAACCTGTCTAGAGAGGCCGAGGGCAGAACCGCTGGGCTGCAACGTGCTACATGACTGCATTACAGAACATCTCAAATTAAATAAACGACAAATTTCGAGCTCAGGTTTTCTCTTCGACGCATCTCTTCCCCCACATTTCACAGACAGGAACAGAAAAAACCAACAAAACAAACAAAAATCAGTCGTAAACGCCGTCACTGGACCGCTCGGGGGTTCAGACCCAAACGAAAACCAGAGAAGACGCAGGTTTAGGTAGATGGGGGGTCACGAGGTCGACAGGACGAGATGCTTGACGGGACGGTACCATGAGTCCGTTAGTAGCACCAGGTTCCAGTTTGGTCCGTTGTGTTTGAGATGAACGTTGGCTGAATCCAGTATCAAAGGGTTTTGGTCGGAGTAAAGGCTGAGGTGTGCGTTGGGATGAGGGAATCGAAGAAAGCAGCTTTCAAAGCATCTATAAATCATTTCACTCCAGTTACTATGACGACCTGCTGTACACTTAGCCATGATAATGTCTGTGCCTTGGACATGGAAAAAGAAATTCATCTAACTGTGCGTCCGCGAGTCGGTTTTCATCCGATGAGACGTGTGAGTAAACAGACAGGATGTGGCTGCGCACTTTTCTTTTTATTATTTTTATTTTTTACGATATTTTCTTCGTCGTGTCCTCCTGACGGTGGACGAACACGTTTTATCTGAGAACACAGAAAACCGGTTTAACGTTTGAATCTTTTACACACGACATAAAAACGAGGGAGGGGCTTGAATCTATCACATCTTCATCATCATCATCATCATCAGATCCACTCACAGGCAACGAGACCTGCTCATCAACACTCAGCCTGGTCTGGCAGAAGCTCGACAGCCACCAAGTGCAGACGTTGGATGTTTTATGAGCAGCGACCGTGAAGCTGCTGAGTAGAATCTATCTAGATCTAGATCAGAGTACTGAAGGGTTCCACCAGACCAGCTCAGACGCCATCGATGCCGCTCACACAGACAGAAAGACGAGACGGAGGGTTAACTCTGAGAGGAGGGGTTCTAGAACGCGGCCCAATCGTAAGGCGAGGACGGAGCAAGTGACGAGTCGGGCGGGGAACCGGATCGGAGCCGAAATGAAAAAAGAAAAAGTGCACAGCCCCGTCGTAACTATGGCAGCAAATAAAGGTCAGCGTTGCAGAGCAGAGCTGAAAAAACAAAAAAAATGAAGGGAGGAAGGAAGGATACAAGGAAAAGGAAGCAGGAGAGAAAGGAGCGTCTCCTTCCTTCGTCTTCTACCCTTCCTGTTCTCTCTGTGCAGTTTATCCACATATAAAGATAAGTAGAGCATATCATATAGGGGGTGGGGTGGGGGAGGGGTGGTGGACGGGTGGATGTACGGGTGCTGCTGCGGTTTCGTTTCCGGCGTGGCAGCGGTGGGCGACGGCGTCCTCACCCCGCCGTCCCCTCCTCCTCAGTACTCCCACAGCGTGGCGGTCTCCAGGTCGTCGGCGTTGGCCTTCAGCACGCCAGCGTGGTCGCCGCGGAGGTATTTGTTGTCGGCGGCGTGGCGGACGGCCAGCTTGTTGTAGTCGCAGAACTCGAAGAGGAAGTCGACGGGCGTGTCGCTGCTGCTCACCACCGACTGCTCGTTGCCCACCATCCAGTATTTACCAGTAGAGTCTGCAGGACGGAGATGAGAGACGATCAGGAGGCGGAGCAACCAAAGATTCAGCTCAGTGGGTTTGAACTGCATCATGGGAAGGCAGTGAAATAATCTGAATTCAACGTGCTAAATCACTTAAAGAATGAACGATGGAGGCTGCAGGACGGCCTCTGATGCACCCACCTTGCAGGCTGTACGCTCCGTCTCTGAACTCCAGGGTGAAGTAGTCGTAGGAGGAGCGGTTGGAGTCCAGCGTCCCCGTCACCTTCCTGCAGCCGATGAAGCCGTGCTCCCCGCGCAGCACGATGATGGGCCGGTTGATCAGCTTCATGATGAACTCCTCAGACTCACCTGGACACAAAGGACACACAACTGTTTGGTTCTACACACTTTCCTTCAACCCGTGCTGCTGTTGGATCTCTCGGTGCTGAGTCTTTATGCAGCCTCATTAGAAATAATGTACGTCGTGCAGTTTGTGGAGAACTATGTGCGAATGGAAGCGGTTCGGCTGCCAGCCTTCTCCCACATCACAAACTGCAGCGCAGAACAAAAAGCTTCGGCTCTGATCCGGAGCCCGACAGCTCATCTATAACTGGAGCCTTCTCAGATCTGCTCGCTGACGTCATGTTTGGTGTCTTGCAGCAATAAAAGCAGTTTCTCTCAGAGGAGAAGTTCGGTTCAGTGAGTTCCTCGTTGTCTTCTCATCATACCTGCATGCTTCAGATCAATCATTTGAGGAAACTGATGTTATTAAAAAAAC